CCTCGAGAATGAAGACCAGGTCTATGCTAGCCTCAAACCAAGGGGGAGATTGATAGGCTATAATTTTGTGGTTTGGGCTAGGCATTCTAATGTATAGGTCTTGGTAGGATGATAGAGAGTGTTGTGATGATTGTAACTTGGTAGTGGGTGTGTGCTGCCATACATGTGTGTGCGGCCGCACACAGTGTATGCGGCCGTACACGTGTGTGCGGCTGCACACTTGTGTGCTGCTTCAGGTGGCATAAATAGTCTAAGTCTGTGTCAGTTGAAGGGTGACGTATGTATGTGTTTCCCAAGGTGTACTTGACATTTATGCGATATAGATGTGTGCATGCTTGGCTTAATTCTCTTTCTACTTCTTCTACACTCTGTTTGATTGTTTGCAATTCATTGATTACTGATTTGGATCTATAGATCGGGACTTACACTTATAATGTACTGTTTATGCTTTTGGTCTGTATCGGAACATGACATCCCGAGGTTTTGTTATATAATGAAAATTCATTTCTTTAAGAAATGGTTTGATAACTTTTTATCATATTTTGTTTTGGGGACAAATTCCACAACATCTTTTGGAAGATTAATCTGATTTTATTTTAAAAGCATAAACTAAATCGGACTTTTCTGGTCCAGAAATTTGGGGATGTCAGAGTACCTGAAACCATAAACCAAAACTGTAAGCATGAAGCTTAGTAGGTTCCCCCAAAGTACCAACACCCAAACAAATTACATACACAAATAACAACATGTATTGGGTCCGCATCTAAAATACTGGATTAACCCTTGCACCCACAGTATGAGTCTAGCTTGCCTATCAGGCCCACAGCTCATATCTGGCTTGCTCTCGAGCCCACACCATAAGTCTGGCTTGCCCTTGGGCCCACAACTTATTTCTGGCTTGCTTCCTCAGTTCTTGGACTGGAATATCAATGAGTAGCCCTTAGTATGATTCTGGCATACCACCCGGTCCTCATCTCGTAACTGGAATGCCACTGAGCCCTCATTATGAGTCTGCTTTTCCCTACACGACCCTTAGCTCATATCTAGAATGCTAATGAGTCCTCAGTATGAGTCTGGCATGCCCTCTCCCTGGCCCTCAGCTCATATCTGGTATATTCCAAGGTTTGTTGGCTACAACACAAAGCAGTACAACCTCAACCCAACCCACACAATATATCGATATATAACAGATAATATCATATACAGATAAGCAGACAGTATCACAGCTAGTCCTACAGATCTACCAGACTAACATATCAATACCAGCATACCCAGACTAGCATGCATATCTATTCCATACTCGGGATATCAACAATATCGGGTTATCAAACCAAAGGGCTGGCCTTGGTGCCTTCGACCCGAAAGTACAGTGAGGAAAACTCACCTCGAATGTAGAAGCTCACTGAAAGAAATCCCTAGCTGCTGCCCTACCGGCTTGTCGAGCTATCAATTCCTACAACACACCCAATTAGCAATTGGGTTCAATGCTATAATCCATAATCCTTAGTTGGGGTAAAATGACCATCTTACCCCTGACCCAACATGAACCAAAACTGAGGCCCCAAACCAAAAGATCCACAAAGGCCCACTAATAGCCCAATTTTCCAAATTGGGCCCAACCCCATATGGGCCTTATCCTAAGCCCATAATTTCCTAATTTACAATTCAAATTACCTCAAGTACACCTTGGGATAAACTTGTTCAAAAACATAAATCGAAAGTCAAAGTCAACGACCTGAGTTAACCCAACTCGCCGAGTTGTCCTTCAACTCGTCAAGTTTCTCCATCAACTGCACAGATCGGGAAAAAACCAAGTCAACTCGCCGAGCTGACCAACAAACTCTCCGAGTTCCTCTATCAATTTGAAAATGTTGGGGAAAACCGAGCCAACTCGCCGAGTTTATCCATAAACTCGCCGAGTTCGCCAGAAACCCACATCTTAATACATTAAGCACTTAATCCATAAGAACATGACTCCAAAACATAGATCTGACTTCCTTGAGCTGGAAAACCACGTAAAGTTGCCAACTTTACGTTCATGCATGTTTAAATGAAGCTCTTAAGCTTAGAATGGACTTAGTAATTGACTTAATGCATGCATGACACCAAAATCCTCATCAAGTTTGCACCTTTAAGCTCAAGGGTACCTAAACCAACTCAGATCTCAAAAAAACAACCCCTTAAATGACTTCACTCCATCATTATCCCCAAAAAGAGGCCAAAACACAACAAAAACCAAAATGAGGAGATCTAATCATCTATATGTCAAGGTATGAACTTGATACCTTAAAGTGACTGCAAGAAATGGAGTGATTCTGGGTCCAGTACTTCCTTCTCCAAGTTAGAAACTTCAAGAACTTCCAATTCCTTAACAATGCACAAAATGAACACCAAACGTCCTTCCAAGGCTAAAAAACTTGACAATGGAGGCTACAATTTGTTTTAGGGTTTTGATAACAATGGAGGCTGATAAGGAGGCTAAAAAAAGGACATAAGGCCTTTAAATAGGGTGCAAGACCCTAACAATTAGGGTTTCCTTCCCAACTGCCAACTCGCCGAGTTGAGGCTCCTTAACTCGTCTAGTTAGTTCATTTAATTCTCATGATTCTTCCATCTTCAACACGTCGAGTTGGTCCCTCCAACTCGTCGAGTTCACCTAGAAATAGGGTTATTCTCAACAATTTCTCTTCAAGATTTCGAATGTTACAACTCTCCCGCACTTAAAATAGATTTCGTCCTCGAAATCGCTCCTTACTAACACTCATAACAAAACGAACACTTGAGGAACGAACTCGAAGAGAAAATGTGGTCAATATCTTGACTGGTGGTATTTCAGATGAAGGTCTCCTCCAAATCAAGCTTCATCCGTGATGGTAACTGTTGTTTACCCCAGAGAGAGAGAGAGAGAGCGAGAGAGAGAGAGAGAGAGAGAGAGAGATGTATTGTAAATCTTTTGTGGAAAAAATAATAAGATTTTGATATGTTAACCGTTTAAAATAACCTTGACATAGTTTTACATAAAAATGATGTGGAAATCTTTTGTGGCAAAATAATAAGATTTTGATATAATAACCATTTAAATACCCTTGACATATTTTTAAATAAAACTAATATCGTTACATTTACTGCCCAATGATCTTATTTGGTCCCTAGTTTTGTTTTTTACAGGTTAATTTATATCCCTGACATTTTAGCTATCTAAAAAGCCAAAGTCCTTCAATGTCGTTTTCAAGTTGCTAACTTTTTTTACTTTAATATGTTGTTCTTTTTTCTTCATTCAGGTCCTTAAATATCATTTTCAAGTTGCTAACTTTTATAAGGGATAATGACTTACAAAGGTAACCATCTTTGTTGTTTTGTTTATATTTAGGCAACTTCTTTATTTTTGTACATATTTGAACATTTAACTTGTTATATGTGTTCACATATTACCATGGCAGGTGACAATGATAATATGTGAACAAATTAACAAGTTAAATGGTTAAATGTATACAAAAAAAATGTCTAAACGTGAACAAAACAAAAAGTTAATTACCCTGATAAGTCATTTTCCCCACTTTTAATAGCGATTTAATTTTTCATATTTGTTTGTATTATTTTTTTTCAAACGTTATTTTTAAAATATCCATAATTTCCTAAATATTATTTGAATATTTATCAATTTTAAACTTTACTTTTTAATTAATAAATATGTTTTTGTTTTGTGAAATGTTTTATATAGCCTCTTATATTTTTTTTCTTTTGTTTTGAAGCATATACAATATTTTTAAAGTAAATAGCATCTAACAATAAAATTAAATAAATTAAATATGTAACAATAAATATGGAGGGTCTTTTAAAAAATTAAAAAAAAATATTACTTAGCAAAAAAAAAAAAAAAAAAAAAAAAAACAATATAATGTAAATGTTTTAAAATCATTCCAACTTTTTAATGCTTTTTTACTTAGAAGTTTATAAACTTTTAATTTTTTTAATACAGCGCTTTAAATTAGTATTTAACGAAAATATTTTAAAATGTTATAAAAAAGTATTAAATTGTCATACAAAATTTGTGAAACACTTTAAAAATAGTGTAAAGAAAGTTTAGAAATCAATATATGAAAGTTATAGAAAAATTGTATGAAAATGTAAAAAAAACAAGTAAAAAACTTGTAAGAGAATTTTAAAACATTTATAAAATATTTGGTTTAAAAGCACTTGTATTAAAATTATATGAAAGTATAAAAAAAGTTGAAAAAAAATTATAAGCAAAGTTAAAAAAATTGTATTTAAAAACCTATAAAAATAAAATATCATAAAAATGTTGTAAGAAATTATAAAAAATTTTAAGAAATTTGTAAAAAAATGTGAAAAATATCATAAATATGTTTTAAGAAATTATAAAAAAATTTAAGAAATTTGTAAAAAAAAATTGTTCACATTTAGACAACTTTCTTTTTTTGTATATATTTGACCATTTAACATGTTAAATATGTTCACATATTACCATTGTCAACTGCTATAGCAGGTGACAATGGTAATATGTGAACATATTTAACAAGTTAAATGGTCAAATGTATACAAAAAAAAAAGTTACCTAAACGTGAATAAGACGAAAAGGTAATTACCCTCACAGGTCATTATCCTCTTTTATAACAAGTATAGCAGGTGACAAGGGTAATATGTGAACATATTTAACAAATTAAATGGTCAAATGTATACTAAAAAAATAAAATTACCTAAACGTGAACAAGACGAAAAGGTAATTACCCTCACAGGTCGTTATCCCCTTTTATAACAGGTATACAAGTTTGAGGTGACATTGTTTTTCGGTGCTAATTTTAATGTTGGATCTACGTACAAATTCTAGTACATAAAGTATAAATACTAAGTGACAACTATTCAGAAAATTAAGGGCTGAAGTTTTCAATTTCTTTATATCAACCAACTAAATGACAATTTTTTAGCTCTCTACAGTGCTATATAAATGGCTCAATATTAGATCGTCTTCTAATTGTCGTAAGACAAAACGCGTCTCAATGTCTACTTCACCTAATACCACTGTCATCTTATATTTGATATCTCTTATAATACTGAGTTGTACCAAATTTGTCATAGCTACCAACTTCTATAGAGATTTCAACATATGGTGGGGCAATGGTCGTGGAAGCATTCATGATAACGGGAAACTTTTAATGTTGTCTCTTGATGAATATTTTGGCTCTGGGATCCAATCTTACAGGGCATATCTTTTCTCCCGAGTCGACATGCAAATCAAACTTATTCAAGGAAACTCTGCGGGAACTGTTACCACGTTCTATGTAGGTTTCTATTTCATTTTCTTTCTTCTTTCCTTTTAAATTGTTTATTTATATAAATTGTGTAAAAGATTCATTGATTAATTTATATGTTTCTATTTAGTTAGCATCAGAAGGTGATAATCGTGATGAGATAGATATCGAGTTCTTGGGAAATCTTTCTGGTAATCCTTACACTCTTCATACAAACATGTATATCAAAGGGAGCGGCTCTAGAGAGCAACAAATTCACCTTTGGTTTGATCCAACCACCAGTTTCCACACGTATACGATTATTTGGAACCCATTTATGATTGTGTAAGTATGTATCTGTATTTGGAAATTAACTTACTAGAAAGAACTTAAATATAGATCATTTCTCTAAATGTAGCATTTCATTGAATAATTTGACAATCATTTTCGTCTTTTTTGGTTTTTGTTCAGAATTTACGTGGATGGGACGCCTATTAGAGTGTTCAAAAACTGGGAATCGAGAGGGGTTCCATACATGCAGGAGCTTCCTATGAGGATATATGCGAGCCTTTGGAATGCGGATCAATGGGCCACGAGAGGTGGGGCAATAAAAACGAACTGGACAGAAGCTCCATTCAGAACCTGGTTTCGGAATTATAAGGCCAGGGGTTGTCTTTGGAAGAATGGGGAGTCTTGTTCAAAAGCTATTAAACATGATTGGTATAAACAAAAGCAACTAGATTTGAGGAGCCTTGAGATGCTGAAATGGGTCCAATGTAATTACATGATTTACAATTACTGCAATGACTTTAAGCGCTTCCCGCATGGCCTTCCACCAGAATGTTCCCTCGATACACCAACATAAGCTCTCAACATCACCAAAGTGGATAATGATTTATTTTGCCTTTTTGGTGAATAAAGAGAATAAGATACACCAAAAGTAAAACGATCACTTCCTTACAAGAAAAACGCTAACTTTCCTTGTCTGTCTCTCCCAATGAACTCCATGACCAATTGGACATAGTCATGGAGAAAATAGAAACTGCATATCCTTGTGACATTAGTGCGAAAGAAAGATAAGACTGACTTACAATGTGACTTGATGGACCTTTCTGTTTCATATCCAGAGACAATACCACGACTTGATCGCTTCTTCCTCGCGATTTACTGGTCATGCGCAATTCATAGTCATCAGGGCGACTTGGCCAAGTCGGAATTATATTAGTGGATTGTACATGTAGTTTTTGTGTCCTAGTTCTTTTTTTCCCTTCCCCCCTTACGCAATTTCTAGGTGATTTTTGTTGTTTTGGATCATCTACTTTTACATTATTAAGTTTGTTATGGTAGTGCGGTTTCGATTTGTGCAATTTACAAGTAACCGTTATGGTTGTCTATTTGAAAGTTTGTTGTGCACACCAAGTGTCAAACGAAATTAACGAATTAATAGAAACATATTTGCTATCGGATATTCAACATATGTTAAAGGCTCATATATATTGACAGCACTGTAAAAACTGGAAAGTGAAATTGAGATAGTGGTTTCGGTAAATGGCAGTAGAAGATAAATGTTGTGTTGATCGCTAGCGGTTCACTACTAGAATACTAGGAAGTAGCTAGCGACATATTTAGAAGGATGATATCCGTCACTTAACATTGATTTGAGGAGTTCTTGAAGGCATGAAGCAGTAGAGATCATTCTTGTTTTCTCCTCAAAGTAGTTGCGCCCCGTATGCGAAATCCTTCACCAAAAAATGCCAAGGAAAAAATTCCATTGAAACATTGTTAGTCTTACTAAATTTTGCCACAAAAAATAAATTCTTGTTTAAGGAGGGAACGCACAGAATATTGTTCACGTGAAAAGAATGAGAGGGTTAATTCAAGATTGTATGACTAGTATGCGTGATTTTTAAACCTGAACCATCGCCCAAAAAAATTTCTTTAGGACCGCCATAATCAGAGAAAGATTGTAGGTGATGTGTTTGGCTAGTGACATGGTGAGAGGCTCTTGTATCAAATTTCCATGGAGTGGATTTGTTTGAATTCATTGTAGTGAAGTGCGCTTGAGGAGAAATGTTGTTGTCTTTGAGAAATCCAGACAAACGAAGACATTTTTTAGTAAAATGTTTGGCACGGTCACAAAAACGGAAAAGTTATTGAGGATTGTAAGAGTTTATTGAGTTAGCGTTTGGAGGATTTGGACACCCTTGATGGTGATTCCCTCTTCTAGTGTCCTGCTAGGAGTTTGCGAGTACCTACAAGATGTCTCACTACAAACAAAATTACATTTATTGGCACAATTTTTTAATGGCATATTTGTTTTTGTGCCACTATATTATGTTTTTAGTTGCACATATTTTTATATGCCATGCCATTATATCATATTGATATATTTTAATTTCGTTGCACGTTGGTTATCTCCTTCTAATTTTCATTGCCCGCTCCTTATTCCCTTCAACATTAAAAGTGTGTTTCATCCATCCTTTTGCGCTCCTAGGTCAAAACATGAAACATATTTGAAATTTTCGGATCCCCTGAAATCAAAATCCCTTCCGATTTCCAAAACCCTTGTCGCTCCTACCTGTCATCTTGTCGATTGCATGTTAAATCTCAGAATCTCACCGGTTGAAGCTTGTTCTAAATTAAATCCATATTAGTATATCTCCGTCGATTAAAACTCTCCATATCTCATCATCAATTGCATTTTGTCATATGCCGCTTGAATAGGCACGATTCCAGACTCTAATTCACTACTTTTTGTCTTTGTTTGATGTTTCTTCTTTTAGTGGTTCCCGACTCTACTGTGTGGATATGCATCGCATATGGATCTGTATTGCATCTCGATTCTAAGATTGAAGGCGGAAAACAAAAAAAAGAGTATATGGGTATGTAAGATGGAACAAAAGACGAAGGGGCTTCAGAAGACCATCGGTTGCCAATATGATTGCATCAATAATCAATATGGTATTATCAACTTGCCTAATTTTTGATTTGTCTCCGACTTTTATAATTTCAGTATAAATCAAAATCGACTTCTATGACATTATGTATCTTCTAATTCTCTGTAACTTGTATATATGCTCGGGAATTCTATTCTAACGATTTTGCTTCTAAGGGTACGCTATTCGACTTTTTCCTGTCACAAATCTGATTATGTAAGGTAATTTCTAATTTTTGTAATTTACTACTTTTTAGTTCTATAAATTGTACAAGTTATCTGGTTTGGTGTGATTTTCATATACTGTATTGGTGTGTATATATATATATATATATATATATATATATATATATATATATATATATATATATATATATATATATATATATATAGGTTCAGGTTCATTTGAGACCATGCTAATTTTGTGAGACCGTGAGACAAAATCTAAAAATATAGTTTTAAAATGCAAAATAAAAGGAAAAATCCAAAAATTCTTTTTTTAATTATTATTTTCGGAACTTTAATTACCTGAAAAAAATAAAAAATAAAATAAAAAATAAAATAAAAAAAATTACCGTTTTTTTTTGAAAAATACGTGAAATATTCTAATAGAATATTACACTGTAAATATTCTAATGTGATTTTTAAATGTTAAAATATTGTATTAGATTTGTCAGATATGTAGAATATTCTAATATTCTACTAGAATATGTAAAAAATGTATTTTATTTATTTATTTATTTATTTTTTGTTATATTTTTTTTGGAAAATATAAATTCCGAAACTAATATTTGAAAAAAAAAAATTCGAAAATTTTTAATTATTTTGCATTTTAAAAATGTGTTTTTTTATCTACTAAATGAGTAGTTAGGATTGTGTCTCACGGTCTCACAAAATTAGGCCGTCTCACATTAACCTCACCCTATATATATATATATATATATATATATATATATATATATATATATATATATATATATATATATATATATATATATATATATATTTGACATACTTAATGACATTAAAACGGTTATTTTTTACGATATAATATTTTTACCACAAAGTTTTTTTTTTATGCGCAACATGTACACATTCGATTAGTTTAACATATCCTTCAAAAAGAAATAATTAGATTCATGGTCTTTTTGAAACTTATATGTTCTAATACTAGCAATATTTGCTCACATGGTCGAATGAAAATTCAACCCATAGACATTTGAGGGTCTTTGGTATTAATACATTTGTTACAAGTCTTCTATTTGAGGGTCTTTCAGACTCCCACTATAATGTATCTTTTTTAATCTTCTTTAATTTATCTATTTCTTTTGCACTCCAATTTCTAATTTAAATCCTCGATGAGTTCGGAAAAATTTATGGCCGTGAAGAGTAGAGAGACCATAATGAGTTTTGAGAATTCAAATTTGCGTAAAAATGAATGTATGAAACTTACGATTATAAGAATTTTAACTCATATGGTGGTCATATCGTGGGGTCATGTAGCATTAGGTTCGCAACCCATGAATTGTATTTAGCAAACCGAGTAGTCTTTTTGTTAAATTTTCCAAAATGATGGTCATTTCATTTAACACCCTTACCACAATTGGCAAGGTGGTCGTGATCAACTCATAAATTAACCATGTGGTGTGAGAAAAGTTAAGATTATAACTATAGGATTATATCACAAAAATCTTTTATGTTTTATAACACAAAGAATCTAAGCATGTTCATTCTATATCAACCATTTGCACAAAGCAAGAAAATCAAATCCGACAAACAACATTAACTAACACTTTGAAAGACAGAAAATTAGAATGAGACACAAACTATTGAGCCACCGAACTTCAAATATTTTACACACAAAATGTTCATGTAAGTTTATGAAACTAATAAAACCCGACAGACAATATATATTTAATTATTTGTGATGTATGTTTCGAAAGAAAAGATCTAAATGATTAATATGTTTTATATAGGGTGGTGTGGGCAAATACAGCATCCTGGTATGTTCCATACATACCACATGTACATCATATTTGTAGAGGAATCTTGTTTGCTGATTTACAGACAAAACTGCCAAAACTGGAATAAGGCATTAAATTGCACATTTGGTCTACTCAACATGCTTTTATTCTCATCACCCTTTTTTTTTTTACTTGATTCAGGATAATCACTACAATATTTGAGTGAAATATCTCATATAAATGCCATACTAAAGTATAGAGTTGATGTTGTTATAAGGGAATCAATTACTTTTTTTTTTTTCTTATTTAGACACTTAGAGATCTAGTTAATTGGACTTTCTAAACCTATATATAAAATAACTATTTTTCTTTCAAATTCACAATGTTCACTTGTTATACTATATTATGTGTTTTCGCATATTGTTTTTAAAGAAAAGTGCGTTGTTAAAATATTAACTAATGTTTATTTTTAAATAATTAAATCATTACAATATGAAATTTTCAATAGTTTATTAGCTTGAAAAAAAATTACGCGAGAGCCTAAGAATTTTTTTTTTTTTTGAGCAAAAATTTTCAAAACCAACAATACCACCCAAGACCCACTTTTAGCGCAATCTCAGGTCCAAATTGTCGAAAAAACACAAAAGAAACGAAAAGTATAAATGTGTATATACAAATTACAAAGAAAAAAAAAATTGTTGATTTTAGTTTGTGAAAGGCCTTGGACGTAGCTATTATTAGGGTTGTGTGGTGGTCTTTCTTTTGAAAAACTTTTGGACATAGAAAACGTTCTCTCTTTTGAAAAACTTTTAGACATAAAAAACGTTCTCATGTAAAAACTGTAAATAGTATAAAAACGTAAAAACAATATTGTTATGGTATTATTCTACAATGAATCTTCTATCCATAACTTTATGTCATTATTCACCAATGAATAAATAAATAGTCACAAGTTAAAACTAAAATTAAAAGCTACTAAAAAAATGCACATACATAAATTTATAATAGAATAATAACATTCTAATGAATATATAAATAATCAAACGTTAATATTCATATTAGAATTATTTCAATAATACGCATATCCGACATTCAATGCAAAATAATAACATAAACATAGTGTTTTTACGTTTTCACACTATTTACTGTTTTTTGTTTGAACTTATATATATATATATATATATATATATATATATATATATATATATATATATATATATATATATATTTCAATTTACACTGTGAATCTAAACTGTAAATATTTCAATTTTAACATTCACAATGTGAATCTGATTTCCAATTTCAACTCTTTGATCATTCACAAATTAAGTGAAATTCACATATGAATCGAAATACATTTTCATGTAGTTTTATAATATTTTAACGTTTTGATT